CCCATTGGTCTCAATTATATGGTCCATCTATCATAGTCCACACAAGATTATAAGAACCAATTTGTTTGAGCTTATTAATTAATGTAAATCCATAAATAAATATTCCAACAATCTCCCACTTAGATTGCATTAATTAAGCAAGTTGTATAAGCAAGCCACAAACAAAATTCAAAAAATAAAACTCCACAAAATCATTAGATCCTATGAAAAAACAGGTGATATAATGTCTCATAATCTAAATAAAACACGAAATTTTATTTCAAACACAATTCACTAAGATAACAACATAAATCACTGATTCCTATGGGGAAACAAGTGACATGTATAGCATACCCCAATAGAATCATTGAATCCTATGAGGATACAAATGATATAGATGCATCTAACTGAACTGAGCATAACTCATAGAAGAAAACAAAGCCTAAAGAGAAATTGCAACACAAAAGGTTCTCAAACTCACACTAAACTAGGGCATTAAAGGAATTCACAATACCCATACAAGTTACATGATTTTGAAAAACTTCTACAGGTAAGCCTTTGGTCAGTGGATCTGCAAGTATCTGCGTGCCAGGAATGTGTACCACATAGGTCTAAGACTCAGTAATTTTATCTTTCACAAGCATAAGTTTGATATTAAAATGCTTTGTATGACTAGAATTTCTGTGGTCATTAGCATAATATACTGCAAATATGTTATCACAGTAAATGGTTAGAGGACTTGATATTGACTTAACTAGGCGCATGTCAGATATCAACTTCCTCAGCCATATAATGTGATGTGTAGTCTCAAAACAAGTAATATACTCAGTTTCCATAGATGAAACTGCTGTAAGTGTCTGTTTCACACTTTTTCAAGAAACAGCTCTTCCAGACAACATGAAAATGTAGCCGGTCATGGATTTACGATCATCTAGATAAGATGCAAAATCTAAATCTAAAAAGCTAACAATTTCAAGATCTTCTGATCCTTTAAAATCATAATCAGAATACCCAACAACCTCAAGAGAATTTGACCTTCTGTAAGTAAATATATAATTCTTCATACCTTAAAGATACCTCATAACTTTCTTAGTAGATTTCCAATGATCTAGATCTAGATCATTTAAGTATCGACCTAGCACTCTAATGGCAAAGGCTATATCTGGTCGAGTACATAGTTGAACATACATAAGGCTGCCAATAGTAGAAGCGTATGGTATCTTTCTCATTTTAGTATACACTAAAAGCATCTTTGGTGGATACTAGAGAGAAGGTCTCTGTGTAATCAATACTTTTTTGTTGTTGTAACCCTTAGCTACATGTCTGAATTTGTATCTATTAATGTCACCTTTAACTCCTTGGTTTGTTTTAAAGACCCACTTGCAACCCATTGGTTTAAAACCCTTTAGTAGCTCTACAAGCTCTCATACGTGATTGTGGTACAAAGAGGTGATTTCTTTACTCATAGCCTCTAACTATTCAGAAGAATGTGAGCTAGAAATAGCCTCTTGGTAAGATATTGAGTCTAAACTATCAATAGCACCTGAATCAAATTCCTATAAATACACCATGTAATCATCTAGAATAGTAGACCCGTGAACCCTTTAGGACCGTCTTGATTCAACAACCAGATCTTCATCACCCTCTAAAGGTGGTTCATCTTCAGTTTCATCTTGATCACGGCATTATTTCATTTAATATGAGGGGTTGTCACGATAGGCATAGGAAAAATATTGCTTTTTCACGTAAAGTAATATGTCTAAGGACAGAGCTCCCACTATCTAAAGCATCTTCAAAGAAATAGGCTCAGTTGGATTCAATAACCTTAATAGTGTGATTTGGATAATAGAACTTGTACCCATGAGATCCAATACAATAGCCAATAAAGAAACCATATGAAGTCTATTGTGGATTGTAAGATTTTACCTATACTTTGTAACCCCAAACTCGCATATGCTTCAGCACAGGAGTCCTTCCTTCCAAAATACAACTTATATGAAGTCTTTAGCACTGTCTTACTAGGAACTTGATTTAAAATATAAACATCAATTTTAAATGCATTACCCCACAAGAATTCTGGTAGTGATAAGTAACTGATCATGCTTCTAACCATATCGATAAGAGTACAATTTTGCCTTTCTGCAACCCCATTCTACTGTGAGGTGTCGGGCATAGTATACTGAGCTTCAATGCCATGCTCTTGAAGGTACAAAGTGAATGGCCTGGGGTTCCTACCAATCTTAGTATATCTCCAATAAAATTCTCCTCCTCGTTATATCTCATATATTTGATCAACTTGCCAGATTTTTAATTCCATCGCTACCTTAAAGGTCTTGAATGCATTAAGACTCACCCTTTTCACATAAAAATTTAATCTATCCATGACGAGAGTAATCATCTATGAAGGTGATGAAATATCTGAAACTACCTATAGCTGGAGGTGTAATAGGTCTACATATATCAATATGAATTAGGTCTAAGCTATTTTCAGACCTCTTTGTCCCTTTGATTCTAGCTCTAGTAGAGAATTTTGCCCTTATACAATCAATACAAGTCTCAAACTCTGAGAAATCAAGGTCTTGTAAGGCACTTTGCTTGGCCATGCACTCCAATCTCTCTTTAGAGATATAACCCAAACGACAATGCCATAGCATAAAGGAATTATTGTTGGGTCTTTGACACTTATGCCAAATGGCAGCATTGATATAGAGATTAGAAAGTTCAAGTGACCAATCATTCAATTGATATAAACCATATAGCAAGGAAGCACAACCAATATTAATGGAATCAAAACAAATATCAATTTTTTCATTTCCTTAGAAGAATGAATAGCCACAAATGTTCAATGTAAAACTTAAAATTAAATTCCTCTTTGCAGAAGGTACATAAACAACATTGTTTAATTTTAAAACATGACTAGAATTTAAATACAAAGAAATACTTCCAATGCATTCAATTGATACCTTGCTCCCTACTATGCCAAAGACCAACCTTTATACCTTACTTGGAACTTTCTGGTTTCTTAACCCCTGTAGAGAATTCACAATATATATAGTGACACTAGAATCTAGCCATCATGATTTAAAGAAAGTTTCAATGGTGTTAGATTCAAAACAAACTAGAGCTAGAAGGGTAGATTGAAGAATTATACCTTCACTTTCTTATTTTTTTCTTCAGTTTGAAGCAATTAGCTTTAATATGACCCGGTTTCTTGCAATAATTGCATAACCCCTTAAAGGGTTTCTTTCTCAACTTTTCACTCTTATCACCATCCTTCTTAAAAGTTGGATTATTTGGCTTTAAGGCCTCATACTTCTTCCCCTTTTCTTATACGACCCTCCAAATTTGCTGTTAGAGCCATGAGAAACATAGTTTACTGAGTGAGAGAAATTCTTTTTTATATCTTTCTCTTCTTGAGTTACTATTGATATCATCTAGTCAACAGACCATTCAGCTTCTTGTGAGTTGTATGAAGTTCTCAAGAATGCGTACTCCAATGATAGTGATTAAAGAACATGGTAAGCTAAGGTACTTTCACCCAAGTCAATTCCATATGATTTAAGCTTGTTATAGTAATGACCAAGCTTTAAAATATGCTCCCTAACACTAGAAACTTCGTCATATCAAGTATTGTCAAGAAGTGACAAATAGTATTTTTTTGAGTCTTGTCAATCTTTTTATATTTGTTACCAATAGCTTTTAAGTATTCCACTATAGTATCCTTTTCAAAATGTTGTCCCTAATTTTCTTTCAATTGTGTACTTGATAATCACTAAACAAATCCAGTTGGACTTATTCCATTATTTATGGAAGGCCATTGCAGAAGCACTAGACTCTGAAGAGGGATCCGTAGGCTTGGGTTTCTTAGAGCTAAATCTTTTTCAGAAATAATCAGATATATATTCAAGGACTCTTTCCAATCATCATAGCTAGTCCCATTGAGAGCCTTCAGAAGGATAGTTGCAAAAGAAAAAACTAAAATCGCAAAACAGAAAATGGGAAATGTTAATTATGCGTGCACAACATAATTATAAAACAAAATTCCCTAACAAGAAATTATCAATTATGCAACTATAATCATACACCAAGAATGCGCAAATACTATAAAGATTTAGCTTATACAAAAGTTCATGCAAAATAATGTATTAAATATTTCCATACCTATAGGGTACAACAAATATCTAGTACATTAAAAGAGTGCTATTAGCCTATCTTCAAAATCAACCATCAAAAGCACATCAATAAGATCATATCTATAGGGTATGTCCATTATCAATGTTACAAGTTCCTAAGCATCATCAATAATTCACAAAGTCATAAATTTTATGACCTTAGGACAAAACAAAATAATTTTAAAGTCCTTCAGGTCTTTTAGGAATTAGAGAACAAATTTGGGATTTAAGTAGAATTTTGAAAAGTGTTCAGGGGTAAATAGGTAATACTGGAAGAGATTTGAGTCAAAATTGCAATTCTAAAAGTTAAGGAACTGAAATATAATTTCAAGAAATTTATTGGGGTTATGGTAGAAATTCTAGAAATTATGGGCCGAAGGAGGTAATTCTATCCTTAGATCAAAAACGTAATTAACAGAAGTAAATATTTTTTGTTGTTCCACTATTCTAGGCCCATATGATTTAGGCCCAGTACCAATTCATTAAATGAATCACACTTAGCCCACCAAAACTACCTCTTTGTTTTTTTTTTGTATTACCCGATTTCATTTAGGCCCAACACTAGAAATCAGATCCTTAGGACTTGATTTCTAACCCGCTCTTTTTTCTCTAAATGCCACGAACCATAAAAGCGTGGAGAATTGTGCCAACAACCAGGTGAGTAGCGCACGATCATGATGCTGACACCTTCTCCAGATGCCGCGAGCTACAGAGACAATTGAGACCATGTCGAAACTATAAAGTAGTGATCTCCACACCAACAGCTAGGAGAAAGCATCTTCGATGACCAAACAATAGTTTTTGAAGTCTCAATGTCAGCTCCTGACTATACTTCAGCCCATCTCTAACGATCCCGATGACACTATCCTGCAAACATAACGGACGTGAACTGCAACAATGGCAGCTATACCCTGTGAATCTGCAGCTTTTTTCTGCCAATGTGAACCAGAACCATGGGTGCGAACTAGAAAGCTTCTGGCAGCCTTTGAAGTTATGCCTTTGGTTTCTCCTTCCCTATGCTATGAAGGACAAAAATCATGGGAGAGCGATGCTGCAACAACGCCATGAGGAAGGGAAGACGACACCGTGAACCATACAGCAACATTCTTGATGAGTAAACTACTTCTAGCGATATTGCAACTGCCATGTCTACCATCCAAAGATCCTGAAACTCTCTCTGGTGATAACAGAGCCTTCGTCGACCACAAAGCTGGAATCTTCGGTGGCTGCTTCCGCCGACTGACAGTGGTGAACACAACAGCAATATTGGCTACAGCAAATATTTTGCAGCAAGGATCTTGCAGCGGCAACAACTCATAGCAAAGAAGGTGAAAGTTCATTTAAAACTTGTTTCCGGTGAAGTTTGATGACGATGAGGCCAAAAAGAAAAGAAAAACGATAGAAATTCACAAAAAACAAATTTATATACACAAAATATCTGAGGATCTTGTCTATGGTTTCTTCACAAATATGACAAGATATAAACCAAAATTCTCAAACTCAAATCTCATATTCATACTCTTCTTCAACAACAAAGATATAAGAAGAATTATTAACATATAAGCATGAATATCTATCAATATATATCATCATACACATAAAAAGAATTGGGATATATAAATTAATATTTATAACTAGGCTCTAATGCCACGTGTTGTATTTGTATATCTCAATTCATATGAATAAGTAAAATAATGTATGCGTACCTGAAGAATCTATGAGGTCTTACTAGAGATACCTCGATCACCTTGAGTATAGATAGACACACAACCCACTAGACCCCAGAGTCTTCAGAGAGTATAGAGATAATGGAGTTGAAGAAAATGTATTGTGTGTTTTGTGGTTATCGACTGATCGACTTATAAGGATCAAATCAGTAACTGCTTTATTAAATAATTATTTCATTATCTCTAACTTAGTCAATTAAGAGATAGAGAATAACTGACGACTACTGGGTTATGGGTTGGGTCTCTATTTATTAGGTTCACTTGTGTGGTCCACCTATCACGATCCACACAAGATTATAAGGACCAATGTATTTAAGCTTATTAATTAATGTAAATCCATAAATAAATATTCCAACATGTTTCTCCCCCCAGAGTCTTTTGTTTCTTTTTCATGTTCAAGCCATGAAATTAAGTGGATAAAAATAATCACTAGCTTCTTTCATCTTTATATGAAAATATAAATGCACTCTTACTGATATTTATTTTAAGTCACTTAATAATTCATCTTCCTACAATTCTACTTTGATCAGGACAACTAACTTGAAGGAAACACTTACTTTTATTATCATGGATTCACCAACTTCTAGTTTAATTTAATATTTATCCTATTCATTTCATGAATGGAAAAGAGAAGGCACGGTTAGTTTTTTAACCCACCTTTCCCAATCTTTCTGGCTAGAATTTTACAAAATCAACCTTAATTTTTATGGTTGATATATTTTCTAAAATATCTTACATGGTAATTTATCCTAAAAAAAGTAATTTAATTTGAATTATTATTTTAAAAAACATGTGTACATTGATGAAATATATGGGTGAACAAATAATTTATTTTATTAACATAATTGTTATTAACAAAAGCGTGAAAGAGTGATATTTTCTGCTTTTTCTTTATTTTTGCAGAATAAAAATAACAAAACATCTAAAAGATATATTAGTTTTTTTAAAATTTTTAGGAACAATTTTTAACTTTTTGTTTTTCAAAACAGAAAATATATTTTTAAACAATTTTTTTTAATTTTTTTCAGAGCAATTGCCAAACATAACAAGTTTTCAATTGAACCAAGCGTTTGTTGGTTCAATTAATTCTTATTGTTTTTTTTTTAAATGGAATGACATGGCATAACTATGTGCTCGATTTGACGATTTGTTAAGGAGAATATTGGGTTGGGCTCGCGCATTTGGCTCGCTCGCCTAAGTGCCGCGACAAATTGTCCAAATGCTTGTAATTTTATTTATTTATAAGTAATAATTTAACAATTATTGAGTAGCGTGGTTCTTGCCTCTAGGCATTCGTTGGGACTTGGAAGTACAAAATGAGTCATGTTATTAATAAATTGTGATTTGTAGGGAAAGTTTTACTGAGGACCCTTGGATTAGACAAAATAAAAAAGAAAGCATTTGAATTTTCAAAACTTCACTATAATTTTAGGGCATTAAATTGAAATTAAAATTTAGTGAAAAATGACATTGTCCCCACTTTTTTGCTAGTAATTCAGTTGAAATAGAGCATTCTCTCACCTTGGAGAGTTATCGATTTGAGTGACGGTACCACTCTTGCTTTAGACGAGCTTTTCATGTTGCCAATAAGACAACAAAGCTCCCAGTCAAAGAACAAGATCCAAGAGAACAAGAGCAACCACCTCGTCTATGTGCTTTTCCAATCATTTATCTTTTGTTTTAGTCTGCAATAAAGGATTCTGAGGGAGATGATAAAGAACAAGGGAAGAAGAAATTAACTAAATTTTATTGGACCATATCTTAAATTTTGTTTATTTCCATACTAAATTTTGTTCATCGTTCATTTCCTTGAAATGGAATCGCTACATTATATTAACCATATTATAAATCAGAAAATAAGGAGAGATTCATGATTAGAGGTTGCATTTTTTTTTTAAGTAGTGTTACGAACAAGTCTAGTAGGCAAATGAACAACATTTAGTAGGAAAATTAACAATAATTTGCAAGCAAATGAACAACAATATATTTGAATGACTTGTTTGTGACTCTAATGTGTGTAGTTCATTATATTGTGGATTGTTATTAATTTCTCTACCTCACTTATTCATTACAATATTGACTTAAAAAAATTTTAAGTGTTGGTTTCATATCAGTAGAACATGCTCATATTGATAGGATTTCATGTTTGAATGACTTATTTATCGCCCTTGTGTGTGTGGTTCATTACTCTATAAACAATTGTTAATTTTGCTACCTCACTTGTGTGTTACAACACCAACTTGAAAAAATTCCAAGTCTTTGTTTCATATTTGAATCACTTGTTCGCAATCCTACTGTGTGTGGTTTATTACCTTATGAAATATTATCTATTTTCCTATCTCACTTATTTGTTACAACACAAGCTTGAAAAAATTTCAAGTGTTAGTTTCATACAAATAGGGTTTCATGTTTGATCACCAAAATCAAATTCCTTCTAAAACTCTGTCGAGGGAGATTCTTAGATAGAAACTTTGGCGATGAAGGGGTTGTTGATCTTCAAATGCCTTAGTTCAAGTCTTGGAAAGAAGTTTGGGAAGCTTCGCTACGTGTATCATCCAACAAAAGCTAATGATTCACGGTAACCTCAAGTCAAAAAAACATCCTTTTAGATCACAATTACTGGCCATAGATCTTGGATTTTGATTTTCACCTTCTCTTGAATCTTACTGCTAGCCAACAAATGCTCAAGGCCTTGACCTCTTAGGATTATCGGCCCTACATTTGATTTTAGTACGTCCTTTAGCATGAAAAGAGGCAAAGACAATTTTGTCATTTCTCACTAAATTTTAATTTCAAATCAGTACCTTAAATTAGCAATGATATTTTAAAATTCAAAGGCTTTCTTTTATATACGTATGGTTAAGAGGTCTTCAATGAAATTTTTTCTAATTTGTATTTAAGAGGATGTAACTTCATGTTTTGATTTCTGTTTTTTAAAAAATACTTTTTACTTTCAAAAATAAAAAAATATTTGGACAAGTATTTTAGATTTAAATATTTTGAAAACCGTTCTATTTTTTGTTTTATCTTTAAAAATGAAAATATTTTAAATTGTTTTCTTTTTTGCCTTTCAACTACTCTATATTATACTAATGCAAATTATTTTTACCTACAACCAATTATTATTGTAAATCATCACCATGAACCATTGCAGATTATCACTATCAACCTATTTTAACTCTAAAATTGTTTTCAAGTTAACATGATTAAACAAATTTTCATTTTGTTTTATTCAAAGACAATGTTTAAAAATTGGTTTACAAAATATTTTTAAAAACAAAAAAGAGAGAGAATAAAATCAAACAACCTTTACAGCTTGTTTGGTTTTTATTATTTTTTTTAAAACTACTCTCTTCATAAAAAGTGTTAAAGCATTTTTTGTGGAGTTAGATGTTAAAAATGTAAGGTATTTATAATCTTTCGAGATGTAATCATTACCTTTTTTCTAAATAGGAGCATAACTTTATATTATTGTAGGGTGTTTAATAAAAATAAATATAAAAAAAAGTTTGTTCAAAAATAGGTAACTACTTTATTAAGGGATGATATTCAGTTAAAAATATTTTACATTTTTGAACGGATAGAGTATTTATAATATAATTTTTAAAATTATTTTTCAAAACAAAAATGAAAAAATATTTAATTTCACTAATTTTGAAAATAAGAAAATAAAACATAAATAATTTTAAAATGTTTCTATGTTCATTTTTAAAAACAAAATAGAAGTTTCAAAAAATTAAATTCAAAGGACTATTTTTAAAAATAGAAAGCAAATAAGTCCTTAATCTTTTTTAGTTTTCTAACTTTATTTTTTTTATCTATTTCATTTTTTAAATAATTATTTAATTTTTATTATTTGACGAAGACATAAGCCCTGTTTGGCCCATGTCAGACGTGCTTCGCGAAGTGACTCGTTATTTATTAATCCCGGATGACGTATTTTGACCGCTTTTGGAAATTTACAACTTTGGTGGATAATGCCCTTTGAAATGAATAATTGAATATGGTTTATACATAACATTTGCCACTTGGAAATAATGATAATCAAATATGGTATTTTGGTAAAAAAATAAATAAATAAATAAATAAATAATAAATAAATATATATATATATATATATAGCATATCACCTGAAAATTGCCGCAGTGTGAGAGAATGGATGATTGCCGCCACCTAGACGATGGTCCGCGGAAATAATTTTTCTAATTAATATAACATAATACATTGATATGATATTACGTTAATAATAAATGATCGAACAGCAAAAATTAAATTAGTATTTAAATCATTATTTCATTTTTCATATATTGATTAATTCTTTCTGTAAAAAAAGAAAAAGAAAAACAAACTCGTCCTATTCTTATTCTATTTTCTATTTAAATGATATTTCTTTTTCGGTGAACAAATGTCTCATGAATATTCTTATTCAGTGATAGTAATTAATTAGTCGCCTTCAAAAAGAAAGACATCCAGTTCGATCACATTGTTAAAACTGATTTGGAAAAAAAAAAAAACATGGGCACATAACTAAATAACTATACTCTAAAATATAATGGTAATTATTTGTTTATTTTGTTGCAGAGTTGAGTTTTCTTAGAATAAACACATAAACA